GGGGGGGGGGGGTCTGTCCTGGGAGGGCCCCTTAGGGTCCTGCTTGGTTACAGGTCCACACCCACCCAGAGCCCAGGGTGGGCCTTTGGGGGCTCTCAGCGGGGGCTGAACAGAAACCGAGAGGAAAGGGCATCTCCTTATTCCTGGCCAATCCCTGCCGTTCTTCCTTGGAGACTTGCGGTTGAGTGTCTGGGTGGTCCTCACGCAGGAGAGTCAGGAGAGACTCAGGGGAGTTCACTCCAACCTGTGCTGGAAATTACATACGACTCTGTTGGTTTGTAACTCACCTGAAGTGTGGCCCGAGGCTGCTGTCAACCTAGTGGGGAGTTTCTTAGTCTGCACGTGGAGGCATCTCCCCGGTACCCGGTTTAGTGCCACTCAGGCCATCCGAAGACCTTGGCTCCATTGGACACACAGGTGGGCCTTCCGGGCCTCAGATCATTCACGCGGCGCAGCGGCCAGCTTTGTGCCTTGCAAAGCCGGCGCCCTTCCTTCCGTCACTGTGGGACTCTGGGCCCCTTCTTCGTGGTGTCAGACTCGCCAAGTGTAAATTAGCCCCCGACCCTCTCAGAGGCAGCTGCCAAGGGGGCTGCAGCAAGGCCGTCCTGCAGGCCTCCCTCCCCTGTTGCTCCCCACAAGTGACCTTTTATAACAAAATTGTGTGGGATTATAAAAAAGAAGTAAGCTGCTCTCCCACCTCCTGCCTTCTCCCCACCCACTTCAAAGGATTCTGCCTGGGACCGTCCCCACAGGAGATGGTGCAAGACCGGGCCCAGGCCTGGGCCGCCTCTCGCCTCAGCTTTCCTTCGTCCTGCCCCGCTTTGGCCTCATGAGACTGTCTGTGCACCACCCGTGGGTGCCTTTGACAACACGCTCGCCTTGATTTTTATCATAAACCCCAGCATTTTTTTCTCTCTAAAATGTCACAGCCGAACAGAAGCAAAGAGGAGTTTATCAGATTGGCCGCCAGCTTCCAGCTGAGATGGAATTTCCTCCTCCCGGCCGGCCGTGAGCAAAGCTATGACCCTCCGGCACAGAGACAGCTTCGGTAAGTCCGAGAACGCACAGCATTTTGTATTCTACCTTTTACAGATGTTATTACAGCCTAAGCGCTTTCCACATTGCTATGTGGAACCCACTCGTCTTTTTCTCACCTTTTTATGTAAAATACAACACACACAGAACCACACACACAAAAAAACCATATTAATCTTATTATTATGGCAATATGGTAGTTCATCAAACAGCTGGACCACACCCCACTCTCCTGTCAATGAAAATAATCAATAAACAATCTAAAATAAGAATAGAAAAGGGTTTTATTTGAGCCAAACTGAGGACTAGCCTGGAAGCCAGCTTCCCAGATGACTCTGAGAAACTGCTCCGGAGAGCAGCACAGTTTTATATCTTGTCAAAACAAAGAACATTAAACAAGTCAGGGTTTCATTTCTTCAAGGTTATTTTTTTTTAAAAGAACAGACGAGCACGTACCCAGCGAGTCAGTATGGCTTTGTCACCTGGGAAGGGGGACTTAACCATCAAAGGAGTAACCAGTATCGGTTCCCAGGAAGGGAGGCATTTAATCTTTATTTTTAACATGGACATTCTTTACTTTGGTCAGTGTGTCCTTTTCTCTAATAATTAAAGCAGAGGTACAGTGTGGGTTTGATAGGCCACACACAGGCTATTTGAGTTAGCGTCAATTTCAAGTTCACTCATGTATAAGCCAGATTGACTTCCCTGTATCTCAATATGTGGACATGTCTTTTGTCACTCCCCTGCCATCGTTGTCGGACGGGCAGGAAACCTCCCCTGGCTTTTGAATTGTGCGCTTTCAGGCATCATGAGGAAAGCAGCAAGCGTCCTCTTTTTCTCCATCTCCCAACTGAGATGGACCAAAAAATGGGTTCTTTGGGGGCACCCGGATTTAACCTTCAGGAATAAGAGTTGATAAAGTCCCCACTGCGTGCAGATGGTGGAAAGAGTAAAGCAGTGTCTGTTTTGCCAACTTTCTGGTCCCAGGGGGTCCCACCTGTCACAGCTGTGGTACAGACACAGCACAGGAGAGTCGCAGGGAGGGACAGTCACCACTGAGCCCCCCAGCCCCACGGGATCAGTCGTTTCAGCAGATGTCATGCATCCCTGCAAAGTCCCAGGCACCTTCCTGGGCACTGGACACACAGCCATGGACAGACAGACAGACAGAGCCTCCAGCCCACAAACTCACACACCTATCAGGGCAAGGAATCCCTGCCCCAGGGCTGCCAGACGCCCTTGCAGCGGGTACACAGAGCAGACAAGCCCCGTTCTAGACCGTTCTGCAAACACTGGGGCCCTTTGGAGGCTTGTGGCTGTGGTCACAGCCATGTATGTGACCCCCATTCGTCGTGAGGCTGTCCCCACAGACGAAGATCAGGACAGAGTGCACGCGCAGCCACAGAAGGAAGCCAGCTCTGTAGTTAGTGCTGTCGACTGAAAAAATGCACAGCCTGAAAGTTGAGAGTTGTGTGTCATTCGGTGGACAAACCTGAGAACTAAGGTCCGGGACACAGCATCTCAGGTCGCTCCGAGGGACGGCTCCGAAGAGGCAGGGTGGGGGCCCGGGTAGATAGGAGCCGTTTTTGCAACAAAGACCAGGTCGTCGGAACATCAAAAGATGACTGTTAATTAAAGAAAACCGGACATCTCAAGGTAAAGAGTTTAGCACTTTTCTATGTGTGGGAAGACGCGAGAGTCTGGGCTCTCTGGCATCGTTCCTTTGATGTGCTCCTAAGCTATCTGGGGCCAGTATCCTGCGTTTTCTCTTCCTGAGTCTCCTCAGGGTGCACGGCTGGGGGCGGCTGCAGCAGCTTATTGCTAGATGGGGGGGCGTCCCACCCCTATCCTGAGTTCCCTCAGGGCTCACGGTCTCGGGGTGGCTATCACGTGATGGCTTGATGGCTGCAAAAAGCTTTGTTTACTGATACGGCAGGCGGCATTCTCAGTTCACAGCGCTTTCCCCTCTGCCTTCTAGGGCCTTCATATGAAGTCAGAGTATTCACACCACTAGTTTTTCCCCTTCACGTGGACCATGGTTTCACAAAGTTAAACAAGCCAGGAGTTGTTTGTGGGTCAGGCTTATTCCAGACCAGGCCATGCCTCTCATGGAGCCAGGTTCTCTCACCTGAGATCTAGCAGAGAATAGTGAATATGGTATAAAGCTTTGAAATGGACAGAAAGGGTCAACAACACCCTTCTGGTCTTCCATGGTCTTTTGAGTTATTTTACAAATCTTGTAAGTTGTATCCAACAGATAATAATGCAAATGATTCTCCTCTGCACAAATGCAAACTAGTGTGTCAGCCGGATGCAGTTGATAACTGCCCTGAGCACAGAGCTGTGTGGCATCTGTTTGTAGATTACTGTCAGTAGCATTCTTTGTTGTCTATGTATGTTTAGTGACTTGAATTCTCTCTCCTTTTTTTTTTTTTTTATAAATTTATTTATTTATTTTTGGCTGCGTTGGGTCTTCATTGCTGCACCCGGGCTTTCTCTAGTTGAGGCGAGCAGGGGCTACTCTTCGTTGCGGCGCGTGGGCTTCTCATTGCAGTGGCTTCTCTTGTTGCAGAGCACGGGCTCTAGTCGCGTGGGCTTCAGTAGTTGTGGCATGCAGGCTCAGTAGTTGTGGCACACGGGCTTAGTTGCTCCGCGGCATGTGGGATCTTCCCGGACCAGGGCTTGAACCCACGTCCCCTGCATCGGCAGGCGGAATCTTAACCACTGCGCCACCAGGGAAGTCCTGAATTCTCTTTTGAATCAGCTGCAACATCTTACTAGTTCCCTCATTAATTGAGTCCCGTAAAATCTTTGACACACATTCATTTTATATCTGTATAAGAGTCGTGGTTTTACCTTCATTAAGTAATTGTCTTTTAACGATTATAATAGGCCAGATCTCCCCCCACCCCCGTTGCTCAGATGAACATTAATTATCCTTTTCCTGTCTGGAACCAAAGGCCCTAGGATTCAGAGCGCTCAGCAGAGCCACACGCCCTACTGTCCCCCACCCCAAACTCCCTAAGGACAACCCTTGCAGGCCCGCGTGAGAGAATGCGTCCCTTACCCGCCTCCCTCCAGGGGATGCAGCCATGCAGCACGTGCCAACCACAAGCGGCCCGGGGGGACATCCTCCAGCTCTGGGAACGGCACCCATTTCTCTGTAGGGTTGCTTTCCTCCCATCTCACGCTAGCTGGGTTTATGTTCCCTTCCATGGCTCAGGCCGTCAAGCTCTCTGTGCTTTCTGTCCGAAAGCAGCCTTGCCGGGGTCCTCTGGGTACGGGATGCTGCACAGGTGATGGACGCTGCCCGGGGCCCTCAGGATCAGCCAGTAGGAGTGAGGCTTTAGTGCACAGGAGTTCAAGGCCCCAGAAAAGCTGTTAGTTTCACAGGGATCTGTTTACTTGTCCATCTGCCTATCTACTTACTCATTTGGGCTTGTTATTTCGATGTAGGCTCCTGGCATCTGTTTCATTTGCTGCTTTTGGAATATGTGATTCACATACTTCAGTCGTGCATAGAGGAAGACGAGGAGGACGGTGACGTGGGAAATCTCAAGGAGACGCTACCAGATGACTAGCCTCTTGTCCCACCAGACCAGGAACTCTCCTGCCCTCCAGACCCCTCCCCAGCTCAGGAGCGTAGAAGCCCGAGTGCGGATCCCCCGCCGGGTGATGCTGAGACACAAGAGTCAGAGCCAATGTGCCACGGAGGGGAGCAGTGTGGTCGTCAGGGTCCCGGGCTTTCTGGTGGACATCGCCACGGGCAACAAGGTACAGATGCTGGAGCCCCAGCTTCCGTAGTGTTTTCAGGGAAATGAGAACTACCAGGTGGTTAGGAAGCCCACAAAGGGGATACATTGTCCAAACAATGATACAGGATTCTAGATTCATCTCAGCTTCAGCTGATTTTGCCAGGGGTGATTATAGCAGCATGTCTGTTGACCACTGGTCAGCTCTGAGACGTGCCCGGCTTGATTAGAGGTGTGGAATATGGGGACGGCCCAAGCCTGGCCTTCCCAGAGCCTGCCTGGCATGGTTAGACTCGCTGAGCAGTAGATCACTACCACTCAAAAGAGGGACATGTTGGGCTTCCCTGGTGGCGCAGTGGTTGAGAGTCCACCTGCCGATGCAGGGGATGCGGGTTTGTACCCCGGTCCGGGAAGATCCCACATGCCGCGGAGCGGCTGGGCCCATGAGCCATGGCCGCTGAGCCTGCGCGTCCGGAGCCTGTGCTCCGCAACGGGAGAGGCCACAACAGTGAGAGGCCCGCGTACCTCACACACACAAAAAAAGAGTAGTTTCTGAAAAAGTAATTTGAAGTAGGAATAATAGTGAGACCTTGTACAGATAGAAATCTCCCCAGGGCACATCACTGGTTGTCAGTGTGGTGCCCACAGCAAGAGAAGCACGTCGCATTTTTCTTCACGTAGTAATAATAGCTACACCCACATAGATCTTGGAACATAAATTTTCACACATGACGATGATGAGTTGGAGGCCCACTAACCTTCTGTCAGCAGAGTTTTCCAAAACCAGAAATTTTTAAATTTTTTTAACTTTTTTGCGGTACACGGGCCTCTCACTGCTGTGGCCTCTCCCGTTGCAGAGCACAGGCTCCAGACGCGCAGGCTCAGCGGCCATGGCTCACGGGCCCAGCCGCTCCACGGCATGTGGGATCCTCCCGGACCGGGGCACAGACCCGTGTCCCCTGCATCGGCAGGCGGACTCTCAACCACTGCGCCACCAGGGAAGCCCCCAAACCAGAAATTTGATCTAAAATGTACAGTGATGTGTTCCATAACTGTCATACATCCTTTTACCAGGTACTTTTTAAACATGGGGGCTCATCAGTGAACAAAACAGGTATCTCCCTGCCCTTCGGGAGTGAAGAGGCTCAGAACAACCCTCCCCAATATGTGCCACTTTGACATGGGGACCCTGCAGCCTCCAGAGAAATATCTGCCCTTCCCTTGACGACCTAGAAGAATTTAAATTGGGGGTGTTTTCCAGAATGACTTACCAGCAATAAATTTTATCCGAGTGACCCATCTGTAGGGCAGGGCAAACGTCTAATTACCAAACATCACCGACTCTTCTTTATTGTCCTGAGAATTGCACCCTCCTTCCAAGCCCCAGGCGTCTTTCCCATATTCCTTAGCTCAGGATGGCATATCTACTTTGTTTTACACTTCTGTCTTTGAACCTCTCATGCATGTGGGGTTCCCGTACATACCAAATTAACTTTGTTTTTCTCCTGTTACTCTGTCTCATTGATTTGGTTATTAGACCAACCAAAAGACCTTTGAAAGGTAGAGGAAAATTCTTTTCTCCACAGCAGGAGCTTATTATATTCCTGGTGTGAAGAGACTGGCAATGAACTAATCAACAAAATAAAGCCTGATATCTTAGGTGGTGATAAGTGTAATAGGAAAAATAACACACAATAAAGAAGAGAGTGATAAAATTAGGTCATTAGTAGAGAAGTGGATGGACCTAGAGACTGTCATACAGAGTGAAGTCAGAAAGAGAAAAACAAATATCGTATATTAATGCATATATGTGGAATCTGAAAAAATTGGTACAGACGATCTTATTCACAAAGCAGAAATAGAGACACAGACGTAGAGGACAAATGTGTGGATACCAAGGAGAAGGGGAGGGTGGGATGAATTGGCATTGACATATATACACTACTGATACTAGGTATAAAATAGATAACCAATGAGAACGTGCTGTATAGCACAGGGAACGCTACTCAGTGCTCTGTGGTGACCTACGTGGGAAGGAAATCCAAAAAAGAGGGGATCTGTGTACACGTACAGCTGATTCACTTTGCTGTACAGCAGAAACTAACACAACATTGTAAAGCAACTATACTCCAATAAAAATTAAAAAGGAAAGAAAAGCATTAATAGCCAAAAAAGAAAAAAAGAGAGGGAGAGAGAGTGGCAAGGATGGGAATGTTACTTCTTACAAGATTCACAAGCAAGGTGTAATTTGAAAAGAGATCCAAAGAAAGTAGGAAGAAGGGGAGGTGTGAGAGTCTTCCAGAAAGGAGGGGGAATGAATCAGAGACCTGAAGTAACCCCTGGGCCCCCGTGATGTTGTTGGCCATGAGTTTAAAATGATTAAGGAATTTAAAATCCTTATTGGTTTCCAGGAATATGGCAAGCTAGTGTCGTTGAACCAACTCATCAGGTGAACACAATACTTGTTAGAAAAACTATAAAATATCTTTAAAGCATCAAAAAAGCGGGCAAGGGACTTCCCTGTCAGTCCAGTGTTTAGGACCCCTCGCTTCCACTGCAGGGGGTACGCGTTCGATCCCTGGTGGGGGAACTAAGATCCCGCAGCCAAAACACGGCCAAAAAAACCAAAACATAAAAAAAAAACAACAAGCAATATTGTAACAAATTCAATATAGACTTTAAAAATGGTCCCCATCAAAGAAAAATCCTTTAAAACAATAAAAAAAAAAAACATAAACACCAAGGCGATGATTTGCAATCCACACAACTTGGATGACCTCTTAGTAGAGGGCAGTCATCAAATATCACACCTGCCCAGGGTGGGGAGTCCAGTGGCACAGCTCACACACCAGAACATCCAAAGGGCTACACACTGCAGGTAGGGGTGAGTCGGAAGTAAGGCTGCACTCCTGACCCCTCCTACCTGCCTCCACCCACCCAGGAAGCAACAAAGAGACTTGCTGAGTATCTCAGGGTGGGGAAAGCTGTACTGAGAAATTGTAAGCAAGAGCTTGCCCCAGATCAGATTTTAAAAACATTTTTTTGGAGATGTACATACCATAAATTTTTCTCCTTTAAAGTGTACAATTTCTTGATGAAAAAATTAATCAATAGTCCATCTCAGAAAGGAAAATTTTTATTTGAGCCAACCAGAGGATTATTCAGAAAGCTCTGAGAACAGTTCCGCCTTGACCTGTCAGAGGTCAAAGCATAGTTATATAAGTTTTTGAGACAAAAGGTTATACGTCAAATGGCATATTACTGACAGTTTACACAATCCAGACCTACACGTACAAAGTGAATGGGTCATCCTGGCCCCTTACAAGATTAAGAAGGAAGGTTATCTCCTAAGGAGATCTGGTTAATGCAGATACACAGTATACACTATAGAGAAGGCAAACGGGCAAAGACAAATTTTAGAATTAAATTTTCTTGGCTTGCCATAAAACGTGAATTTCATTTCATCAAATTCAATGATTTTAGCATATGTAGAGAGCTGTGCAAACATGACCTTGATCTAATTTTAGAACATTTTCATCACCTCGGAGAATCCCCACACACATTCACATTCATTACCTTTTCCCCTTTTTCCTGGCCCCCAGAAACACTCCTTTTATTGAAATGATAATTCCATCGAATGGATATACCACATTTTATTTACCCATTCATCATCTGATGGACACCCAGGTGGTTTTCACTTAATAGAAAACATGAATAAGTTCGTTTCCATTTGAATAATGCCTCTGTAAACATTTGTGTACAAGTTTTTGTGTGGACATATGTCTTTACTTCTCTTAGGTATGTACACCGAGGAGTGGGAGAGAGGGATAAATTAAGAGTTTGGGATTGACATATACACACGACTGTATTTCAAATAGATAACCAACAGGGACCTACTGTATAGCACAGGGAATTCTGCTCAATATTCTGTAATAACCTAACTGGGAAAAGAATTTGAAAAAGAACAGGTACATGTATATGTATACCTGAATCACTCTGCTGTACACCTGGAACTAAGACAACTTTTGAAATCAACTCTACTCCAATATAAAATAAAAAAATTTTTAAGTTGTTTAGAATTATCTGAAAGAAATTTTTTTCAGAATAAATTGGATGACCTAACAACTTCTAGTGACGACTTACGAGGACTTGTTTTTAATTTTGTTTCTAATCATTATTCACTCAGAGAGACCTGTGTACCCTCTACCCAGTTGTTTCCCCTAATACTTAAATCTTAAACAACTGGATTGTAACATCAAAAGCAGGAATTTGCCATTGATGCAATGTATGTATAGAGTTCTAGCATTTTCTGTTACCTGTGGGTTCATGTAACCACCACCACAGTCAAGATACAGAACTGTTGACCACCACAGAGATCTCCCTCATGCTACCGCTTTATATAGCCACACACCATCACTAACCCTTAGCAACAACTAATGTCTTCCACCCCTATAATTTTGTCATTTTGTGAATGTTATATAAATGAAATCATACAATATGTAAGCTTTGAGACTAGCTTTTTTTTTCTCAGCAGGATGCTCTTAAGATCCAGCCACGTTGTTGCCTTTATTAATAGTTTGTTTCTTTTTAGCGCTGAGGGGTATTCCATGGTATGGATACACTGCTGTTTGTTTATTCACATATTGAGGGACATTCGGGTTGTTTCCAGTTTGGGCCTATTATGAATAAAGCTGATGTGAACAATGGTGTATACAGGTTTTTGTGGGGAACATATGTTTTTATTTCTCAGGGGTAAATGCCCAGGAGTGCAGTTGCTGGGAAGTATATGGTAAATGTACATTTAGGTCTTTCTTTAGCTGCCATCATTTTTCTTTTTGATGCCTAAATTATTCCATCTTTTCCCAGTGGAGGACCTTTCAAGTTGCTTCTTTTGACATGTTTCATTGGTCTTTTCTAGCTGCTGCTGCTGCTGCTTTTTTTGACTGGAGAAGACATCCCAGGCTCCTCTTGTACCTTTCCAGCCCCAAACTTTAAATGGTGCTTTGGTACCTTTGACCGTGTGCCTCTTATTGTCCTTGACAAAGTATTTGTTAATGGGAAGTGATAGATAAGCGTCAGATCTGCAATCTATTTTCTCCCATTACAAGTCAAATCTGCTTGTAAATATACCGAGGACCAATTTCCTGCAGCCAAACCTCATAGTATTTGCCAGTGGGGGAGTCCTTTTCTATAACAGCACATACATGATGGTTCAGGATTGCTTACAATAAACAAATCTGAAATCTATGGGAAATATTACCAAGCCAAGTAACTGAGCCCCAATTCAAAATAGCGCCTTCTTTGTGAAATCACCTCATGCATCATTTAGAGACCCCCTGAAGTACTTATATATTGCTAGTAGAACTATAAGACGGTCAAAAATCATTTTGGAAAACAGTTTGTCAGTGTTTTCATCTGCTTGGGCTGTCATAACAAAATATCGTAAACTGGGTGGCTTAAAAAAACAGACATTTATTCCCCACGGTTCTGGAGGCTAGAAGTCCAAGATCAAGGTGCCAGGTGATGGCTTCCTGGTGAGAGCTCTCCTGCTTGCAGACATCTGCCTTCTTGCTGTGTCCTGACAGGGGCTTTCCTTGCAGCAGAAACACAGTGGGGAGGGGGGCGCGGGGACTCTCCCTTTCCTCATAAGGCCATTAATCCCCTCATGACCTAATCTAACCTCACTTACCTTCCAAAAGCCCCATCTGCAAATACTGTCACATTAGGGGTTAGAAGTTCAACATATGAATTTGGGGGGCACAAACATTCAGTCCATAACAGAAAGTTGTGCATAAAATTAAACATATACCTACGCTATGACCCAATGATTTTATTCCTAGGTTTTGACCCAAAGGAAAGAAAACATACATTCACAAAAAGACTTGTAGAAGGATATTTATAGCAATTTCATTCCTAACAGATAACACCTGAAAACAATACTAATAACCATCATTAGGATAATGCATAAGCTAATTTCAGTATGTTTATTGTATTCATCTGCTTGGGCTGCCATAACAATAAACCACAGATCTGGTGGCTTAAACAGCAGAAATTTATTTTCTCATAGTTCTAGAGGCTGGGGAGTCCAAGATCAAGGTTCCAGCTGATCCAGTTTCTGGTGAGGGATCTCAAACCTGACATCTCGAAGGCCTGAGAACCAGGGGGACCAATGCAGTGAGTCCAAAGGCTCCAGAACCAGGAGTGTCGATGTCCAAGGGCAGCAGCACATGGATGTCCCGCTTAGGCAGAGAGCACATTGGTCCCTCCTCTGCCTTTCTGTCCTATTCAGGCCTTCACTGGATCAGATGACGCCCACTGCATTGGTGAGGGTGATCTTTACTCAGTCTGATTCAAATGCTAATCTCTCCCAGAAACACAGACACGCCCAGAAATAACGTTTTACCAGCTATCTGGGCATCCCTTAGCCCAGTCGAGTTAACACATGAAATTAACCATTCAAACAAGCCAAAGACAATTTGTGACACATTTGAACACCCAAAGCCTGGAACATAGGAAATAAAATTAATTCTAATAAATCAATACAAAAAAAGTACAGACAACCCAATACAAATGGACAAAAGACATTAACAGGCGTTTCACAAAAGAGGGTATCCAGCTGGCCGATACTTGTATGAAAAGGTGACCAACCACATGAGCCATTAAAATAAAAATGAGTTATCACTACTCATCCGCCAGATTGCTGGGATGGGGGGCAGACAGCCTCGCAATAATCTGTGTTGCTGAGAATGTGGAGCAACAGGAACCTCCACGCACTGATGGTAGCAATAAATTGGTCCCATCACTGAGGAAATTGGTGTGATGTTATATAATAAAATGAAACAGACTCGTGCCCCAGAACCCGCAACTCCACTACAAGGTACATACTCGAGAGAGCTCTTGCGTGTGCACACCTGTACCTGAGCTTGGCATCCTCTCGAGAACTGGGTCTGGGAAGAGGAGGGGACCTGCACCTAGCTAGTCATTCTGGGATGCAGTCCTACAGAACCAAAGTGGGGGGACTGACTAGAATGACTGGAACACGGAGGATGGAAAGCCAGTCTAAGGGTGCATCACTGGGTTGGTTACCATTGTGAGTAACCGGGGCTCAATCCTGTTGGAGACCCTCTGAGAAATTGTGGAGAGTGGCCTTCACAATCATCCACTTGTGACTTGGGAGTGGGGAGTATTTGTCCTCTGGCTTTTGTACCCATTCACCAAAGGTCGTGGCAATGGGGGGGTTAATGTTCTGCACTCGTGGGTTTTCACATTGCTCAGTGGAACCCTACCTATGTCCCACGTGGCAGTTGGCACAGAGGCCCTGAGGCAGAAAGCAAGGGACATGCAGATTGGTGAGGTAACCTGCTGCCGTCTGTACCACCATTAGTTGGTTACCACAGCAACAACAGGAGAAAACAGAGGAGCCCAGAGCAGTGAGACAGAACATAAAAGATACCAACACATCAGAACACAAGACTGTTCATAAAACTTTATTATTGGAAACAAGCCAACTTCCCATCGATACGAGAATGTGTTTAAGGGTGGTGCATTCATACAATCCTCTGCCACGCCATCCTGTCCACGTTCTCCCAGGGTACTGCTGACGCCACCTTATTTTAGTGTATGTGTAGTGAGCAATTTGATTCTGCTTTTAGATGAACTGGAAGCAGTGCCCTCCTGTCACAGCGAAGTGTAAGATGGTCACGGTCCTTACAGAGCAAGAGGATGGGCTTTGGACTCAGACGGACTTGGCGCTAATCTTCATCATTCGCTCGGCTTCCTCTGCCATAAAATGATAACCATCCCTACCTTGTGTCTATTTCACAGCACATAACGCTTACTCCGCACCACGCACTGTTCTAAGCCTCTCCAAATATTAACCCGTTCCATCCTCCCATCCCTCACTCCCATGATGTAAATACTGTTTTCTGCGTCTCCTAATGAAGGAACCGGGCACAGAGAGCTTACATGACGCGGCAGGGCCACACAGCTGGTGAGTGGAGGGAGTGCGCTGAGCCGGGATTTGAACGCCCCCCCTGTCTGGCTGCAGAACCCGTGCCATCCAGCGGAAAAGAAGCGCATCCCCGGCCCAGCCGCGCAGAGAGGACTGCGCACCGGGTCTGCCGTGCGTGCGGAGCCCCACCTCCCCACGCGGCGCACGGCTGCGAGGGCGGCCCCGGGGCCCCGCCCCCGGGCGCCTGCGGCGGGGGCAGCGGGTGCCTCTCCTCGTCCGCCGTCGGGGGCCGCCGCCCGCGGTCCCCGGGGCCGGGCGCGCCCCGCAAGATGTCCGGGCGCCGCGGCCAGCAGCCCGGGCCCCGCCTGTCCTGGCTACTGTGCTGCAGCGCCCTGCTGTCCCCGGCCGCGGGCTACGTGATCGTGAGCTCCGTGTCCTGGGCCGTCACCAACGAGGTGGACGAGGAGCTAGACAGCGCCTCCACCGAGGAGGCGCTGCCCGCGCTGCTGGAAGACTCGGGCAGCATCTGGCAGCGGAGCTTCCCGGCCTCGGCGCACGAGGAGGACGCTCACCTGCCGCCCCCGGAGGGCACCGCCCGCGCCAGGCCGCCCCCCGCGCCGCCCGGGATGTTCTCCTACCGGCGCGAGGGCAGCGCGAGGCTGCGCCCGGGCACCGCCCGCTTCCTGGCCCACGCCAGCGCCTGGGGCTGTCTGGCCACCGTGTCCGCCCACGAGAAGGTAAGCCACCCGGCCGGGAGCGACGTGCAGGGGACAGGGAGAGCCTGGGGCCACTCCCGCGCTCGGATCCAGGTCTAGCAGACGTGCGCTGGAGGCTGGGTCGGCGTGGACAGCGTGTAATTAATGCAGCCAGATTGTGCTTCGGTTACCCTGGCACCCTGGCAAAGGCAGGAGGGGTGGGGGGTGGTGCTGGGGGAGAGGACGACAGGCAGGCTTCCTGCCAGGTGGATGGGGACCGAAGCGCAGTCGAGAAGCGCAGTCTTGAAATGGCCAAAGAGGTGTGCAAATAACCAGCGCCTGACCAGAGACCTGGACAAAAGAAGCCAGAGCCACCTTTGGCATCACCGAGTAGCGCGTCCAACCCCTGCCCGCCCATAGACCAGAGCTGCCCCATCACTTACTGACCCCGAACCGGGGCTTTGGTGGAAATTTGCATTTTAAAAAATGGAATTCGAGAACTGTTCTGGAAAGGAGATTTATTGTGCGAAGCGTGTAAATGTTGGAGTGACAGCGCTGTCGTCAGCTGCAGCTTTCATTGTTCGTTTCACAGATGTTTTACTCACCTGTTAGACATTATTCCACCTGAAGTGGAAAGGCCGTGGATACATGATGAGGATGTAACATACATACGTGTACACCCTCCAGAAAGCTTTTAGAGCTGTTAAGATAGATGTAAGGGTTTTATTACAGGGAAGTAATTTGAACTCCTATTTACTTCACGCAAAAAAAAAAAAAAAAATACTGTTTTATGGAGTGTGTAAGTCATTGGCCAGGGGGAAGGTTCTGGGCCCAGCTCTGGGTCTCACCAGCTCTGAGACTGTGGCCAAGTCACTGGGTTCTCCACTTTGCTTTCCTCATCTATGAAATTAAGTGGTAGACTAGGTAGTTTTGAAGGTCCGCTTTTGCTTTGAAAAAAAAAAATCTAAATGACAACTTTATTTTTTATTTTATTTTATTTTTTTTTTGCGGTACGTGGGCCTCTCACTGTTGTGGCCTCTCCTGTTGCGGAGCACAGGCTCCGGACGCGCAGGCTCAGTGGCCATGGCTCACGGGCCCAACCGCTCCGCGGCATGTGGGATCTTCCCGGACTGGGGCACGAACCCGCGTCCCCTGCATCGGCAGGCGGACTCTCAACCACTGCGCCACTAGGGAAGCCCGACAACTTTATTTTGATGAGAAATTATCATAAGGTCTTTCACAGCTTCCAAATAGTCCTTCACAGCTATATCTTATACTCCTAAGACATACCTTTAGAAGATATGAAGCTTGAATATGAAGCCGATCTTGGTTTAAAACACAGATCACTTCAAGCAATTAAAACTCTAGTGCCAGTGGATTCAAGGTATTATGACTTTCAACATCCCTTTTCTTAGCTTTGTTAGTTCCCTTTTCCAGTATTGATGTATACTCCAAATGCAATAAATTCAGAGAACATTTACCGTGTGCCTGGCACGTGTGCAAAACATGACTCTACTCAGTTTGTGAGTGACCAGCTGAAAAACAGGATCTGGGAATGACATATTAGCATTTTGTAGGATTTCTTAACATTGGGCTTTCTTAAAGATTAAAACCACCCCTTATCACAATTCTACACACTGTTGTCATGCGACACTTCAAAGACAAAGATAGCCCTGAGTTCTGAGCTAAGTAACAATGAGGGGGCCATGATGCTGGACCCAGCAGGGCTTGGGAAAAACCTAAGAAGTATTTGAGTACGTGTCTGAGAATTTCATCTGCTCTCCTGGACGATCGTGAGCAAAAAATTGGTTTAGCATGTTTATGTGTCTTTCTTGAAGCTAGAAGGATAAGAAACCAAATTCCCATAAGTTGCTGAGTTATACTATTAAAATATTATTGATTACAATTTAAAAATGTGACTAATAAGTGAGAAAGTGGTGTGACCCTAAAGGAAACAATAACAGAAAGTTCCTGGAGTCCAAAGACCAGGTAAGATGTTAGGTTAAGACTTAGATTCTCGGCTTCCCTTGTGGCGCAGTGGTTGAGAGTCCGCCTGCCGATGCAGGGGACACGGGTTCGTGCCCCGGTCCGGAAAGATCCCACATGCCGCGGAGCGGCTGGGACCATGAGCCATGACCACTGAGCCTGCGCGTCCGGAGCCTGTGCTCCACAACGGGAGAGGTCACAGCAGTGAGAGGCCCGTGCACCACAAAAAAAAAAAAAAAAAAAAAAGACTTAGATTCTATCCCCAAAGTTGCCAAAAATATGGGGGAGGTGGTGAAGGCAGTGGGGCTCCCAAGGGCTAGCTTGTGAGAAAGGTTTCAGTGACCCTCCACCCTTCCATGATTTTCATTGCCTTTCCCCCAAATAACTTGCAGTTTAATAGAGTGTGTTTGCTGTGTACCTGCAGCTTCAAGAATAATCCCCTAACCATCCCTACTCTACAGATGCCACTGCTAAGCTCCTCTGTAGAAATTCTGGAGCCATCACTGGGTGAAGTGGGCAGGTTGGGAACCACTTTGCTTTGATTGATGACCTGTCAAAACCACGGTGATGCCATGCTGCCCTCACACCCCCAATGCTATATTTCCCGGCCAGAGACACAGACCAAGCTCCCAGCTCAAGTCAATCCACAACCCTGCATTGAAAAGGCCTTTTTTGGTGTTTGTTAGATCCCAGGACTGCCTTCTGGGAACTGCCTGCCGGTCAGTGACGGCCCCTTCAACAACAGCACGGGGGTTCCTTTCTTCTACGTGACACCCAAGGACCTCCTGGTGGCTGATCTGATGAAGAACCCCATGGCCTCCCTCCTGCTGCCGGAATCCGAAGGAGAGTTCTGCAGGTAGGCAAGGGCCCGGCCTCCCCCATCCAGGTCCTCTGCACAAAGCAGGGAGGCTGTGGCTTTAACGGGGCCCTGAGATGCAAAGCAATGTCTTTGCCACTTGGCCAGGGGGCAGGTTCTGGGCCTGGCTCTGGGTCTCACCAGCTCCGAGACTGTGGCTAAGTCACTGGGTTCTCCACATTGCTTTCCTCATCTATGAAATTAAGTGGCGGACTAGGTAGTTCTGAAGGTTCTTTTTTGCTTTGAAAAAAATTATTGAAATGACGACTTTATTCTGATAAAGTGATCTTAACTTCTTACGTGGCTTCCAAGTGGTTTTTCACAGTTATATCTTAGGCTCCTAAGACACATCTCCAGAAGATACAAAACTTGAATATGAAGCTGATCTTGGTTTAGAATACAAGTCATTTCAAACAATTAAAAGCCTAGAGCCAATGTGTTCCAGGTACATTGGCAACGTATGTTGTAGAAATGTATTTTCATGTGGAAAGAGTATATATAGCCGTGGAATCAGATCAATAGAATTCTACCACTCAACAAGCTGTGTGATTTGGGGCAAGTTATTGAACCTTTGGGAGCCTCAGTTTCCTCATCTGTAAAATGGGAATAGCAGTTTCTACCTCCTAGGGTGATGGGGAAAGATTTGCAGCGTCTTGCACAACACTGGGTGGATAAATGGCAGCTCTCTTTGTTACGGCAAAGGTGGGGGTGGGGGAGGGGAGGGGAGGGGCGTGAAGGAAGAGCCAGTGGTTTATCTCCAAGGCACATGCAGCATAGAGTCCACTTATTGTTTTTCAAATTAATTTCTACCTGCCCCAGTGAGGTGTGTGCAATAAAGACCCAGAGTCCCTTAAATCACTTTCTCAAAAACTCTCTCAAAGAAAGGACAGTTGGGCAAAAATGGTACACTGTATCCAACACCTTTGAAATCAGAATGTGGAGCTTGAGGTCCAATCCTGCCACCGCCGTGTCTGCGCCGAGCTTGGGGAGGGTGGGGGGCGGGACGCACGTGGGAGGGCACCCCTGCAGTAGTAGCAGAGGCAGCGGGGGACCTTGGGCAAGTCCCTTCACCTGTAATGTAGTGATGCTTTAAGAACTGGGATAAGATACCCCCAGCTCCAAAATGCTATGACTCTTTATGCAAAATATGAAAAACACATTCAGCAAACAAATGTGTCAGTTCTTTGAGGAGGGGAAGTGGTATGAATCAAAGCAACAATGCGCCATAAAATGCAGCCTGGATAGGACCCTGTCGCTTACCCCTGGGAGCTGGTGGGAGATCCATCCGTCCGGGCGGAGGCAGTTAGCTGACCCAGTGCCCTATCGGGGATGGCAGGAAGCCAGGAAAAGGAGTGCCTCCTTTTTTCATGGAATAGTCTCCTTTTTCTTGGCCAGCCAAGCTTGCTGTTACTAGAAGTATATTCCCAGATACCTTTCTAGACATCTGAGGTGTTCCTCATTCAGGCAGCCCAAAAGCAGCCATTGTGCAGGGCAGGTTGATCGCAGACCCCAGAGCACACCTGTCCCTGGAGGTGGGCACAGAATACAGAGCAGAGGATGTACCGCAGCACTCAGGTTGTGGAGGGAATTGTCTCCTGGAAGGTTCCAGGCCGCCGTCAGCAGGAGCTTGGGGCCATGAGAAATCCAGCTTACAGAGGCCCTCTCCTGGGGCTGGGGCTGGGCACGCTTGGGGCCATGTGTGCGGAGCCTCTTCACAGCAGGTCGCGCTTGGAGTTGCACACCTCCGTGCAGCACACCAGGGTACCTGGACGAGGCAGCTGACGGCCGGAGGGGACCACCCAGCCCCACCCCACCCCCCAGGGCCAAGGGCACCAGTATCCCAGAGCCTTGTAACTCTGGCCTGGAGGAGGAGGGTTGAGCCACCACCCACTGGTACCCCTCTGTCTAAGCCCTCATGTGAAACTCTACTCCCTCGCATTGTGCCAGCTTCTGAAGTCTTAAAATATAATGTAAATAAATATCTACACAATTAACTGTGGCCTTCGTAAGCATCACGCCTCGAAGCAGGGACTATCAGACAATGAGGCTTGTTGTCCCCCCTGGGTCCACTACTTTCCAGGACCTGCTTCAGCCCAGGTGTGATTCATCTGCGTGAAGCTCACGTTCCAAGTGCAGCATCACCCTGTAGGTTTTGCCTCCAGAATCTTGGTAATGTTGAGCACAGAGACTTAACAAGTCCAAGGCAGGCAAAGAGCAGAGCCCTGAATTGAACAACGCTCCTCGGGCCACGGGAGCCTAAAGGAGCATCAGGTGGGAACGTCCATGGCTAAGAACTTCCCTGACAAGCACCTGCGTGAAGTCCAAGGGGCCGCCTGCAAGGCTGCGGGAAGCTGCCCCTCCTGCCTGATCCCGGCCTGCAGAGATGCCCACAGAGCAGGGAGATCCAGAAAAGCACCCACTTCGCACGACGATGACGGTAAATCAAGGACACCTGATCCTTTGACCTTTGGAAAAAGCATGAGAATCGCCTCCGTTCTGTGAAGGAGGCAGTCTTGTGAACTTGCAGCAGCATTTTTACCATCAGATCTGGTGCATTCTGTGCGCTCATGTCCCTCTGCCTGTCTGTGCATTGGGGTGGAGGTGGATTCTCCCTAAGCGGGAAGACAAAGCCAGGACCAGGCCTGTCTACACGATGCATCCTGAGACTCCTGTAGGCCTGGGGCGCCATGTTTGTCTGAGGAGCCCTTAGAGCCTGAACCATAAACCAAGGTCGGACAGAGAGTAAGCAGCATGGCCACTGATGCTCTGAGAGGAGGAAAGAGGTGACTTCCCAGCCGTTTCCTGCAGGGTCCACTGGGCATCTCAGCTGCAGGCCTGCCTCTGCGTCCATCAGGGTTAGCCCTGGTTCCTGCAGAGTCTGGACTGGGGCAGTCTGGTGAGCTCGGCCTCCACCGACAGGACATAGGTTGAGAAGGAAGCCGTCCAAAAAACAGGAGCGAATGGAAGTCTGATTCCACTGCAGGGGCAGGCTGAGCTGGCCCTCTGTACTTTAGAGCTCCGTTGGGTGTACAGGACAATTGTATATATAATGTGTATGTGTTTAATAAGCAGATGGGTGGACAAGACAGAGAGAGGGAGAGAGGGATGATGATAGATAGATAGATAGATAGATAGATAGATAGGTGTGTGTGTGTGGTTTCACATATTCAACTATTATCTACTCTTGAGAACATATACTACAGATGCCCCCAACTGGTCTCCCCAGTTCACTCTCTCTCACCTTGATTTCATCCTCAATCCAATATCTGAAGTAATATTTCAAAACCCATATAAGACCCTGGGATTCCCCTGCTTAAACTCTTTCATTAGGAAAAATAGCAAAATCCTGAATATGGCCTAGGAGGCCCTGCCTGGAGGACACCTGCCTCCCTCTCAGAATAAATAATAGTGGCTAATCCTCTGCTGATTGACTTAGTATGTGACTTATACCCTAGTTTTATTAAATGGAGAGGTTTAACCTGAAAACTTGTAATCTAAACTGATGTATGTGTCTGGCATACAGCTAAGAAATGCTTTTTTACAAAACTGAGATATAATTGATGTATAACGTTGTACATGGTGTTAATTTGATACATGTATGTATTGCAGTATGGTTATCCCTGAAGTCTTAGCCAACATCTCTGTCACGTCACATAATTATCATTTCTTTTTTGGGGTGAGAACATTTAAGATCTAGTCTTTTAGCAACTTTGAAGTTTATAATACAGAATTGGGGGCTTTTTTGTTGGGTTTTTTTGTTGTTGTTTCTTTAAATTTTATTTAAATTTTGGTTTTTTTGGCTGCGTTGGGTCTTAGTTGCGGCACACGGGATCTTAGCTGCTGCACTCGGGCTTCTCTTTAGTTGTGGTGTGCGGATTTTCTCTTCTCTAGTTGAGGCACGTGAGCTCAATAGCTGTGGCCCTCGGGCTTAGTTGCCCAGCAGCATGTGGGATCTTAGCTGCTTGACCAGGGATCCAACCCACGTCCTCTGCATTGGAAGGCGGATTCTTTACCACTGGACCACCAGGGAAGTCCCTGTAACACAGTACTGTTGAATATACTCACTGTGTTGTGCATTATATCTCCAGGACTTATTCGTCTTCTGACTGCGAGTTTGTGCATTTTGACCAACATCTCCCCAGTTCCCGAACCCCCAAGCACTGGTAACCACCATTAAATCTCCGTTTCTATGAGTTTGGCTTTTTTAGATTCCACATATAAGGGATATCATGCAGTATTTGTCTTTGTCTGATGTATCTCAGCATAATGCCCTCAAAGTCCATCCATGTCATTGCAAATGGCATTATTTCACCCTTTCTTATGGCTGAGTAGTATTCCATGGTATATATAAGGTACCACATCTTCTTTATCCATTCATCTGTTGATGGACATTTAGGTTGTTTCCACATCTAGGCTATTGTAAATAGTGCTGCTATGAACATTGGGGTGCGTGTATCTTTTCAGATTAGAGTTTTCGTCTTTTCTGGATATATGCCCAGGAGTGGGATTGCTGGATCATATGATAGCTCTATTTTTAGTTTTTTAAGGAACATCCATACTGTTCTCCATAGTGGCTACACCAATTTACATTCCCACCAACAGTGTAGGAAGGTTCCCTTTTCTCCACACCCTCTCCAGCATTTATCACTTGTAGATGTTTTGATGATGGCCATTCTGACCAGTGTGAGGTGATACCTCATTGTAATTTTGGTTTGCATTTCTCTAGTAATTAGCGATGTTGAGCATCTTTTCACGTACCTGTTGGCCATATGTTATGTCTTCTTTGGAGAAATGTCTATTCAGATCTCCTGCCCAGTTTTTGATTGGGTTGTTTATTCTTTTGATATTGAGTTGTATGAGCTGTTTGTATATTTTGGATATTAACCCCTTGTGGGTCGCGTCATTTGCACGTATTTTCTCCCAGTCCATAGGTTGTCTTTTTGTTTTGTTGATTGTTTCCTTTGCTGTACAAAAGCTTTTAAGTTTGATTACGTCCCGTT